ACACAGCTGCAGGTGAGACCAGAGCAGAGCTGGGAGCAGAGAGGGGCTGAGTGGTGCTCTCTCTTCACCCCCCCGTGTGGGCTAGTCCATGCCCCGCCGTGCCCCTCGAAGGTTCCTCTGTGCCCCTCTAGGATGGGCGCACCCCAGAGTTTGGGGACCTTTTGCTCTAGAGTTTTAGCCCATCCTGCATGGTTGCAATCTACTTTCATGGCATCACCCAAGAATGCTGCAGTTCCTGAAATTTGCAGAACTGAAGCTAGGACTTCAGTACATACTTTCTCCAGCCACTGTGCCTCTAGATCAGATACTGTAGTTGGCATTGCAGTTTTGTCTTCAGTATTTGACTCTAGTCTGAAGCTCCCTTCTCCCTGTGGGGTTACTGCTTATGAGTTAAATGTAGTAGAGCACCAAAAGAAACATAATTTGATTTACCCACCTTGTACGGTAACTGGAATTCTTCGAGATATATGTCCCTATGGGTGTTTAGCTCCCATCCGCCTTCCCCTCTGCATCAGAGTTTTCTCTATGGGACTGTGCAGTTGAGAAGGAACTGAAGATGGTTTGTCTGCACAACCCTTTATAGTCTGGGTAAAATCTGGCAAAAATCTTTGCTCAAAAGTGCAGGGGCACATGCGCACCTGAAGTGGAGCACCCATAGGGGGACACATCTTGAAGAACTCCATTTACTGCACAAGATGAGTAACCTCTCCCTTTGATCAGTTACTAATTTGTCTTTTAAAAACATTCACATTTTGAGTCTCATCATGTTTTAGGTCTCTATGATGTGAGAACTGCGGATTGTAAAAAGTCAAATTTGTACATAGTGAGATTTTTGGGATCTCCCTGGGTTATGTAATGTTTTAAACAAAAAAAGATTTTTAAAATTACTTTTTATGCACAATGTTTAGCCAATGGAGAATATAGTTTACATTGATTACTTCTGTTCTTCAGTGTGGTACGTGAAAGCCTTTTTGAACAGTTTAGGAAAGGAGTACAACACTGCCTTTTGGCATATGCCTCAAGTAATGTTTTCAGGATTGAGGCTAGTGAAAGAGAAATGACTAACCTGTGTTCTGAATTAATTTGTTTTATGCTTGACAGTGTGCCTTTAACCTATGATTTAGAACAAAAAAACAAAATATACCCTGAGGAAATCACAAGCTTTTGATTATGATTTTAGTGTATACTGTGAAAATCAGTTTTGACATATTGCTATTTTATCTAGCAATTGTTGCTGTTTGTTGCAGCTACAGTTTCTCATCACATTATTGCAAGTCTAACTCATTTGTGGCACACATTTTTAAAAGTCTGAACTCTGTCGTAATGACGCATAAAATGTTTTTGTCAGATTTTTGTAAAAACATTTGTTTTCAAGTCAGTATTTGTTTTTAAGAGTTAGATATAATTATTTAACCTAAATACCCCAAAACAGAAGGTAACTTGCTCCAGTACTTGTTTCCCTGGTTGGCAGTATGGCATTTTTTTACTCTAGCACCAGGACTCTAACTTTTACTAAGGTCTCTCTTGTATGGTTTTGGTAACGTTAAAGATTCTGTTTAAACCAAATCAATTATATATCACCTTTTAAAAAATAAAATTGAAACTAGAGTGGGATATGACTTCAAATAATGCTGCGATGTGTCATGACCTCCCCATTACACAAAATGAAGTGTCTGTACTACTAGGCTGCCTGATAAGAAACACGATAAGTTTTTCTTTTGTATTTTTGTAGTTTGTAAAGGTTAAGTGACAGGATAAACACTAAAACTTTGTTTATAGGTTAATGGGATAATTGGGTTCCCGATTTGAAATATTTGGTTTCTTTCAAGTCACCTATAAATATTTAGGCAAGATTAGCTCAGACATTTATCTTCAAATTAGATCACTTGAATTCTATTCATTACTCTCTGGATTTTTCAGACAAGATCTTAAGAAGCTGAACATAAATATTAAGAAAGTTTGTAAAGAGGCCATGTGGAAAATACAAATTACTATACGCAGTTCTCTCTTGTTTCCAAAGGAAAGCAAAAATATTCTGTTAAATGTTTAATTCATTTAGCTGACAAAATTATTATAGTCTGTTTTAGCGAGAGAAGATAAATTATTTAAAAAGTTGTAAGTCCATAAAGATATCCTGGACTGTTATGACAATGAAGTTAATGTTAATATACAAGAATAAAAAAAACATTCTGCTCGCCTCTTCTGTCTGCCCCACTTTCCTTCTCTTTGGGGAGTCTTTCATTCCTCCTTCGCCCTCTTATCCCCACACTGTCTTAGAGGATTCTCTCCATTAGGTTTCTGTTCACCAGTAGAGGTAGGAAGTAGTTGTTATCCTGAGCCTGGTCCTTCAGAATTTGGCAGCAACAGGAAGTGGGTGGGAACAGGAGGCTGGGAAGTGCAAAATTACTTATTGGAGAAATGGAGTAATAGATAGTAAAGACTGACATCACTGGCAGATTAAGGGGAGCAGTCTGTCAGTCTGATGCTGGGATGCTTGGTGAGGTAGAAGGAGCTCACTCCTTCATGGCAATACTGAGGAGGCAGCAGGAGGGAATTGAAGTCTGGTGGTGGTGTGGTGGGGAAGGGGTTCAGGTACCTGTGCCCAGCCAGGCATGAGCTCCCTCCTCAGCTCCTCCTGCTCTGGGTCCTTCCCAGGACCTCTGAGCTGTAGTAGCGAGGCAGCTGCAGGATGGATACCTTTATAAATTGCCGAGGCAGCTGCAGGCTGAAAGAAAGGGTAATAGAGGAGGGATCCGGCTTGTGGGCAATATGTTTGACACCTTGTTCTTCATCTTACATTGATGAGACAAGGTGGGAGAGGAAGAGCTCTGTGTAACTCATCAGCTTGTCTCTCGCACCAACAGAAATTGGTCCAATAAAAGATATTACCTCATCCACTTTGTGTCTCTAATATCCTGGGACCGACATGACTACGACAAGTCTGCATACATCTTACACTGACGACTTTCACTTTTACTCTGCACTCTGAACTTGTCTCCCTTTTTCCAATATGGGTTGCAGCCTTTCTTTCTGACATCTCTTCATGGATGACCAGACATTAATTTATACTTAACATGGCCAAAACTGACTTTTGATCTTTTCCTCACAAGCTCTCCCAGCTTTCTGAATCACTGCCTCAATCACATCACCACCATCTTTCCAGTCACTCAGGCCCATAATGTGAGTATCTTTGATATAGCCCTCTGGCCTTGACTACTGCAACATTGACCACACCACAAAAATCCCTTGAAATTGCTTCTGCTAAGATCACTTTGGCTTGTTCTTACCAAATCATATGTTATGTGCATCCCTCTACTAGCTCTGTCTTCTCCACCGTATCAAACATAAGCTTCTTTGCCTTCCTTTCAAGATTTATGAGCTCTATCTGGCTGCTCTAATTATTGTGCTGACAACTGCACTCTTTGTTTTTGCCAGCAATGTGTGTCTTCACCACCTGTTAGTCTACTCTCAAAAATATTTTTGCACTTTCTTCCATACCATCCCTTATGTATACAGGGAAGAACTCCCTGTCCAATATCCAGTTGAAAACACCATTGTACCCTCTGTCAAATCACCTTAAGATTCACCTGTTCTCTTTTGTCTACAGAACACTATTATCCAGCAACAGTGGCTAACTGAGACTATTATTTATTGTGCAAAACCACCCTATTTTTACTATGAACTTGTACTTAGAAACAGTCTTTATGCAAATACAAGATCATACATTGAGGAACAAAGAGCGCAATCTATACTTACAAGGCAAGGACTGTACCTTGGAAACTGTGACTCTGAAAAGGATTTGGGGATCACTGTTGATAACAAAGTGAAGATGAGATCCCAGTGCACGATGCTGTGACAAAAAAGACTAACATGATCCTTGGATGTAGACGCAGGGGAACACTGAGCAGAAGTAGGGAACTGTTACCTCTGCATACCACATTGGTGAGCTGACTCCCTTCTAGCCTTAAAATCTATGAACCTTTAAATTGGCAGTACTCAAATTTCTTATTTAGATTGGTTCATGTTGTTATTGTCACATCTACCTACATATATGGAAAACTCCAAAAATGTCAAGTAATCAGTTTTTTTTAAAGAGCATAAAAATTATGTAATCCATGACTGTGATAGCCATAAAATAGTCCCAATTAGTATATAAAAGTATTACTTTGTAATGTCTTTGTAGGAAAAAGAACTATGAAACTCTCAATTTCAGTTGACCTTTTCTGTTAGAAAGCTTAACTCATTTTTAATCCTTGGTACATTTGTGCTGACATCCATTGACAACTAGACTTCTGAAGACTAATGATAATCATAGGGCAAAGCAGTTGCTATACTAGAGGCAATTTATTGTACTTTCGCTTTGTACTTTGTGCAGTGAAAGTGACAGAACAACTATGGCAAAATGCTAAAATAGATGTATTTTACGCTGAAGGGTGAAGGTAAATGCTGTGGCAGAAGTAGACAGTCTGCTTCTCTGCTGGCTAGTGATGGTGCTGGTGCTGTAATGGTGTTGATATTGGGGGTATAGATGAAGGTAGATAGCTACAGCAATAGGCATTCCCATTTGATCCAGTGAGCTACAGGTTAGAGGAAGTGAAGGAATTTAATATTTATCACCAGACTTTGATTTAACCTGTAATTAGAAATCTAAAGTGAAAGAACATTCTCACAAAGTTATGTGTTTTCTGAAGATAATTGAGGTTGTGAACGTTCTACCTTTGCAAACAATTGAAATATGTGGTGAGAGGTCAGTTCCTACTTCACAAAGGTGATGTTATTCTACTAATAGTCTTATAAAGATTTACATGGTATAGTTGAGCACTTAAGATGAAAAAATATGTAATTTATTCCACGAAAGAAACTATGGGCCTGGCTTTCAGAGATCCTGAGCATCTACAGCTCATTTTCACTTCAGTTGGAGTTGGTGCTTCTGAAAATCAGGCCCTTAGTGGAAATGTTTTCATAAGTTGTATATTCAAACTATTAATGTTTTGTTTCAGGTCACTGTCTTTGTAAAATTCAAGGAGAGAAGCAGATACACGTGATCCAGCTTCAAGTAGAAAAAAATCTTCATTACCTTCCATAGAAGAAAAAAGACACAGGTTGGTACCATAATTGAGATCTACTTTCATTATACTCTTACATATTCTGATTTTAAATATTAAACCTTTGGCAGTGTTTTGTCAACTGTATAAAATGACTGTTTTATCATGCCTGCTTCTCTTCATAATTTTGAATAACAAGTTTTTGAGGATTATCCATTCAGATATCGGCTGCAAATTGAAATACAGTGGGTCTGATTCTCTACTGTTTTCCTACACCTAGTGTAATCATTTACACATCTGCAAATAGAGTGCAAGGAGAGTGTAAAACACTACCAAAATACTCACTGCTGTATTTTACACTCACTTTATGCAAGTTTAAATGACTGCATAAGGTGCAAGTCAGTGGGGAATTGTCTGAGTTCAGGATGTCTAAAAATATTGTTACCCTTTTTGACCGAAGTGGCTGGCCAGATTTGGGGTGTTGTGGGTAGAAGTGACTGAAGAATAATTAATTTTTCCATATGATGGCCGCTGTTTCAATCCCCTCTTTACATTCATCCTGAGTGAAAAATGGTAGTTATGGCCAACTCATAACAACAAGGTTCAACCCAACACAAAACAAAGTGTTCACTTTAATCTGAGCCCTGGTCTACACTACAAGTTTAGGTTGAATTTAGCAGCGTTAGGTCGATTTAACCCTGCACCCGTCCACACTACCAAGCCTGTTTTGTCGACTTAAAGGGCTCTTAAAATTGATTTCCTCCCCGGCGAGGGGTTTAGTGCGAAAATCGACCTCGCTGGGTTGAATTTGGGGTAGCGTGGACGCAATTCGACGGTATTGGCCTCTGGGAGTTATCCCAGAGTGCTCCATTGTGACTGCTCTGGACAGCACTCTCAACTCAGATGCACTGGCCAGGTAGACAAGAAAAGTCCCAGGAACTTTTGCATTTCATTTCCTGTTTGGCCAGCGAGGCGAGCTGATCAGCTCAGGTGACCATGGAGTCCCAGAATCGCAAAAGAGCTCCAGCATGGTCCGAACGGGAGGTACTGGATCTGATCGCTGTATGGGGAGAAGAATCCGTGCAGGCAGAACTCTGTTCCAAAAGACGAAATGCCAGTATATTTGCCAAAATCTCCAAGGGCATGATGGACGGAGGCTACAACAGGGGCACACAGCGGTGCCGCTTATAAGTTAAGGAGCTGAGGCAAGCCTACCAAAAAACAAAGGATGCAAATGGTCTCTCCGGGTCAGAGTCCAATACATGCCGCTTCTATGATGAGCTGCATGCAATTCTAGGGTGGCCCCCTACCACTACCCCACCAGTGTCCGTGGACACCTGTAAGGGGGGATTCTCACTCAACAGGGATGAGGATTTTGTGGATGAGGAAGATGATGAGGAGGTTGAGGATAGTGCATAGCAGGCAAGTGGAAAATCCCTTCTCCCCAGCAGCCAGGAACTGTTCATCCTCTTGGAGCCAATACCCTCCCAAGGCGGGCTCCCAGACCATGAAGCTGGAGAAGGCATCTCTGGTGAGTGTACCCTTGTAAATATAATACAGCGTTTAAAAGCAAGCATGTTTAATGATTAATTTGTCCTGAAGACTTGGGATGCATTTGCGGCCAGTATAGCTACTGGAAAAGTCTGTTAACGTGTCTGGGGATGGAGTGGAAATCCTCCAGGGACATCTCCATGAAGCTGTCCTGGAGGTACTCTAAAAGCCTTTGCCACGTGGTGTGGGGAGGCCCGTTCATGCTGAGCTGTTCGTGTTTGGCTGAGAGGGATCTTCCCTGATACTAGCCACATGGTGGGCGGGTGCGGGCTGGGGGGTGGGGTGAAGCACATGTGCTATGTAATGTGAATCGCTTGATTCAGTGTGAAATAGTCTTCCCTTTGTTCTCTAAAATGTATCTTTTTAAATACTACTCTTCCTTTTTTTCCTCCCACAGCTGCAAATGTTTCTACACTCCCCCTATCATTTCTGTCCCAGAGGCTAGTGCAGATTAGAAGGTGAAAAAAATGCACTCGCGATGACTTGTTCTCAGAGCTCATGCAGTCCTCCCACACTGAAAGAGCTCAGCAGAATGCATGGAGGCAAACAATGGCAGAGTCCAGGAAAGCGTTAAATGAATGCGATGGCAGGAGGGAGGATCATGCTGAGAGGAGGCAGGATGCAATGCTGAGCCTAATGGGGGAGCAAACTGACATGCTCAGGCGTCTGGTGGAGCTGCAGGAAAGGCAGCAGGAGCACAGACCGCTGCTGCAGCCCCTGTATAACTGCCTGCCCTCCTCCCCAAGTTCCATATCCTCCTCATCCAGATGCCCAAGAATGCAGGAGGGAGGCTATGGGCACCCAGCCACTCCACCCCAGAGGATTGCGCAAGCAACAGAAGGCTGGCATTCAATAAGTTTTGAACTGTAGTGTGGCCTTGTCCTTCCCTCCTCCCCTAATCCACCACCCCACCTGGTGCTTCCCTCTTCACCCACCCCTCCTGGGCTACCTTGCGAGTTTTCCCCCTTATTTGAGTGCTGAATTAATAAAGAATGCATGATTTTGAAACAATAATGACTTTTATTGCCTCTGAAAGTGGTGATCAAAGGGGGAAGGTCGGTTGGCTTACAGCGAAGTAGAGTGACCCAAGGGGGCAGGTTTTTATCAGGGAGAAACAAACAGAACTGTCACATCATAGTCTGGCCAGTTATGAAACTGGTTTTCCAAGTTTCTCTGATGTGCAGGGTGCCCAACTGTGCTCTTCTAATCGCCCTGGTGTCTGGCTGCGCGTAATTGGCCACCAGGCGATTTGCCTCAACCTCCCACCTTGTCATAAACATCTCTCCCTTACTCTCTCAGATATTGTGGAGCACACAGCAAGCAGCAATAAGAATGGGAATATTGGTTTTGCTGAGGTCCAACCGAATCAGTAAACTGCGCCAGCGAGCTTTTAAACGTCCAAATGCACATTCTACCATCATTCTGCACTTGCTCAGCCTATAGTTGAACTGCTCCTTACTTCTGTCCAGGGTGCCTGTGTATGGCTTTATGAGCCATGGCATTAAGGGTAGGCTGGGTCCCCAAGGATAACTATAGGCATTTTAACATCCCCAACAGTAATTTTCTGCTCTGGGAAGTAAGTTCCTTTCTGCAGCTGTTCAAACAGAGCAGAGTTCCTGAAGATGTGAGCGTCATGCACTTTTCCCGGCCATCCCACGTTGATGTCAGTGAAATGTCCCTTGTGATCCAACAATGCTTGTAATATCATTGAAAAGTACCCCTTGCAGTTTACGTACTGGTTGCCAAGGTGGTCCGATCCCAAGATAGGAATATGCGTTCCATCTATTGCCCCACCACAGATGGGGAACCCCATTGCAACAAAGCCATCCACTCTGGCCTGCATATTTCCCAGAGTTACTACCCTTGATAGCAGCAGCTCAGTGATTGTGTTGGCTACTTGGATCACAGCAGCCCCCACAGTAGATTTACCCACTCCAAATTGATTTCCGACTGACTGGTAGGTGTCTGGCGTTGCAGGCTTCCAGAGGGCTATCACCACTCGCTTGTGAACTGTGAGGGCTGCTCTCATCTTGGTATTCTTGCGCTTCAGGGCAGGGGAAAGCAAGTCACAAAGTTCCATGAAAGTGCCCTTATGCATGCAAAAGTTTTGTGGCCACTGAGAATCATCCCATACCCGCAACACTATGCGGTCCCACCAGTCTGTGCTTGTTTCCCAGGCCTAGAATCGGTGTTCCACAGCATGAACCTGCCCCATTACCACCATGATGTCCGAATTGCCAGGGCCAGTGCTTTGAGAGAAGTCTGTGTCCATGTCTTCATCACTATCGTGATTGCACTGTCATTGCCTCCTCGCCTGCTTTTGCAGGTTCTGCACGTACTGCAGGATAATGCGTGAGGTATTTACAATGCTCACAACATCAGCGGTGAGCTGAGCAGGCTCCATGCTTGCTGTGTTATGGCGTCTGCAGGAGAGCAGAGTTGCAGTGGAAGCGGTGGCTGACGACAGATGCCATGAGAATAGATATTTATACAGAACGACGAGAGGACCTGCGAGGTGGATTCATGACACCAGGAGAGCAGAGTTGTAGCGGAAGCGGTGGATGACGATGGTTAGCAGGCCGACTGCACCGTCTGCTGACAGCAGTATGGCGCCTGCACGGAAAAAAGGCGCGAAACAATTGTCTGCCATTGCTTTCACAGAGGGAGGGGCGACTGACGACATGTACCCAGAACCACCCATGACAATGTTTTTCCCCATCAGGCATTGGGAGCTCAACCCAGATTCCAATGGGCAGTGGAGACTGCAGGAACTGTGGGATAGCTACCCACAGTGCAACGCTACGAAAGTCGACGCTAGCCATAATACTGTGGACGCACTCCGCCAACTTAATTCGCTTTGTGTGGATACACACAATTGACTGTATAAAATCGCTTCCTAAAAATCGACTTGGATAAATTCAACCTAATTTCATAGTATAGATATACCCCGAGTATGAGGATTTTAAAAAACATGTTTATCATTTCACCACTGATGCTCTTTACTAAATTTCACTTTCTAATTCTCATGCTACCATACTGTTGGGATGTTTGGATTTTAGACAGTGCAGAGGAATGTGTAAATCCAAACCAGAAAGTGTTTTCATTACAATTATAAAAGAAGCTTCTATTAGTAGACTTTTTGTTTGTAACAAAAACTACATTAAACAAACCTAAATTTTCAGCCCAAAGTACTATGATTGTGTCCTTTAATCTTTCTTCTGAGGGATTTCAAATACATGGTTTGTGATTACTGAAATTTTAACCAGAGGGGTAAATATTTTTCCTCCTTTGTTTGACCTGAATATTTTCAAGATGATTTTGGGTTCATTTCCCTTCCTACCCCTTTCATAATATGACCAGAAAATGGGCTAACCAGTAATGGAATGAAAATGCAGTGTTACTTTTCAGTCTGTCTTATTATGTGCTTAGTTAATTTTACTAAATGACAAAAATACTGAGTTTGCGATAATTTACAGATGCAGACAAATGCATGATGAAAAATGAAT